GAGCAAAAATGTTTTCTCACCATCAATTTATTGATCACATATGACAAAGAAATGCGTTACACTGATTTACCTTTGCTATCACTGGGACAGCTAATAGCTTATGCAACAACTTGCTTATTTCTTAACAGAGCTTCTTCAGTAGAAATCACAGGAATACAGGACTTGTATTCTAGATGCACTAGATTGTGGATACTGTCTTGGAAGATTGGTTCATTCCTCTCATGTCCTGCATTAACCTCTTCACTGAATCCCGAACCCAAGATGACACGTGACTTCCCAGCCAATCCCACGGATGTTCAGTGGGGTTCACGTCTGGCAGGTAGAACATCCAGGGCATAACCGTGACACTCTCGCCCCACAAGAAAACTGTTACATGAGCAGCACAAGTACGGGTCTTGCACCATTATAATACTGTCAGGACAGGATCAGCTCACAGGAAAGGCGGTAAGTGACCTGCCTCAATGTGCCACCATGCAGAAGGGTTTCCCTCAATTACTTGTTATGACCTGGCAGTGCAAAACTAATCACAAAGACCAAGCTGCATTAGTCTTGGTGAAGATTATACCTTCTGGTCTCACCAGATTGTGGAGTAATTTTCAACAACTACAAAACAGAAGATTTGTCTGAAATGCCAAGCCAGATTTGAAAGTGTTACTCCCTGTCTGGAAGCAATCAAGAGTTCAAAGCTGGCAATCAATGACTTAATCCAACCTCCAACATTTAGATGGTACAAGAGTTTTGTTCTCTTGAAAAGTGAGACATGTTTTCTTTCCAATTCCTCAAGTCTCACCAGGCTTAATTAAGTTAACAGGTAAAATTACTGCATTACACGTGCTCAATTAATTTATTAAAGAGAAAATTTTACGCTTGTATTATGAGATGTCAGAAATAAACACGATCAATTTATGATGAACAGACAAAAATGGGAATGACAGCATGAAGAAATCTAGTAACGAGAGCTTTCTACTCCAGAGGTCAAATGGATTACTGTTCACCTGAGTGAGAATAGTTCTAAAGTTCAGAAATTTCCACAATAATAAATCTTAGTGAGATTAGTGAGCCAACAATGAAAAAAATCAATTTCCTGTTTGCGGCATATTTTATTTGCTTAAGATGAAGAACCGAGCTAGAAGAGATGTTGGCCCCTCAGGACTAGAATTGGGAACCACTGCTATTTATTTCTGTAAAATGTATATTCATAAAGTAGGTATTCAGTTATTTTGTTTGTGTTGGAAATTGTTTCTGTTTCATGACATCTTCTCCAACTGCTTCCCCTCCATTAAAAACTGCCACATTAACAGTTTGGAGGAACCATTACTATTTCACTTGTAACACAATGGTTGTCCTGTTCATTTATAACAGAGTACAATATGTATTTCAACATGTACTAGGTGTTTATTTTATCCATGTTAAACTGCACCTGCTCTGGGTTGATGAAACTAAGAAGCAGAACTACGGTATTCCCAGTGACATTTCTCTCTAACCTGCAGTACACACGGTACAAACAACAAGGGACACATAAGGGTATCTTGAGTACTCTACACAAAGATTGGGCATTTGTAATCATTTATAGCTGTAATTATAACAAGTGTACCTGAAGTATAGACAATACAAAATTTAAATTCACTCCCCATACTATTATTCAGTAGAATTTCCATTTACAGAACAATCATGTGAAAGGTGCATGTTATATTCAACCACAGATATGTAGTTTGTAAATTCAAAACGACTTTGTTCTAGATGTTTTTTTATTTAAGCAATTATCAAGGACACTACTGAAAGAAAACAGACCTGTAAATTTAGTACCATCAAAAGATGCATTCTTCAAATTCTGCCAAAATAGTCAACCCCAAGAAAAAAAAAACCCAACTTATTTCAGCCATTTGTTTAATCTGCATTTTATAGTTGTTGAAATGCTCTAAAACAGGTTTCTGACAATAATATATAAAAGTGAAAAAGACCCTCATATAAGTCAATATATTGAGTGTGCATCATTAGGATCAAGTAATAGGTTTATTCCATGCTGAAATGAGGAGAGAAAACTTTCAGCTGTGGAGCCTTCTTCACCGTGTGGTATGGCAACACTTCTCCGCGAGAAAAAAAGGCACTGGAGAGAATGGTCAATATGGCCCAGAAGATCATCGGCTGCGGTCTCACCGAGATTAAACAGCTCTATGAGGACTGCTGCCGTGGTAGAATTCTGGCCATCACAGAGGACAGTCACCACCCCGGGCATGAGCTCTTCACCCCACTGCCCTCAGGCAAGAGATATAAGAGCATATGGTCACTTACCACTAGATTCTTCAATAGCTTCTATCCACAAGCAGTGAGACTGGCGAACACATTTAGCCATCCCCCTCGGACCACACCTACACCATCACCATCTACCTCATTGTAATTTATTTATTGTACGTCTCCAGTCATTGTTTACACGTCTGTATTGTTTACATTCAAACTGTCTGCATGTTTACTTGCACATTGTCTATTGTTTGTTTGTACATTGTCTTGATGCACTGTTTGCACTTTGTTTTGTTTTTTACACTTGTTTTACAAACGAGAGACTTTCTGTAAGTAAGAATTCCATTGTACCAGTACCGGTTACATATGGCAATAAAGTTCAAGTTCAAGTTCAAGATAAGGTATTATTAGGTTAGCTACAACAACTATGCAGTGACAAAGAAACTGATTGCATTGCAAATACACCATTGGATCCCCCCCCCCAGTTCTGTCTCTAAAGCAAAGGCTAGGTCACCAATATCATCTGTCAATGTCTGGCAATGGGGTTTAACAGTCAACCGGGTTGAGATCCAACAACAGAGCAGGGCAAAGCATAAACTGCTACAATGGCAGTCTTTAGTGTCTTGTACCGTATAGAAATGAATATGATTGTGTTGAAAGACTATGGAACTACACTGATCCTGCTGTAATAACATCTCATTATATGATTAATAACACTGTACAGCAACAATCATTGCCAAGTTGACATCTAAATTTAGCATCAGTACCCACTCACACCTTAATAAGATCTGTTGTTTCTCTACACAAGCCTTCTTCTGTATATGGGTGTTCCAAACATCAGTGACAAACACTTCATCACAAAACACCACTTCACCAATATCCAGACATGCTCTCCAAAGTGATGGGCAAAGAACAGTCTGGAGATGCTGAGTCACAACATTAACATTGCAAGAGCAGCACTCTAGGTTTAGTGGCATGGACCTTCCATGACACCCAAGAGTGTTAGCAGCAACATTGTAGATGTTCTTTTACACAGATGGGAAGGACAATTTGTTTGTCCTTTCAAAGAGCAAAATATCTAGATGTCCAGTGTCAAGTTCAAACACAGCTACTTCCTAGAGTCTAGTTTTTAAGCATTTACCAGCTACCTAAAATGAATTTAATTAACAAAATGAAAGGAGACTGCTGCTTCAAACCATTGTGGGCAAGTATCCTAAGATTTCGAAATCAGTTTGCTAAATATATTAGGTTAAAAAAAAAACAGGTGCATTGCACACTCCCCCGTTATCAATTTGAGAGGAGAGAGACAGCCAGCTACTGCTAGGCATGTACTATCAAGACCATAAAAAAAGTGTTTGCCAAAAGACCAGCATTGTCCCGTCTCTGAAGGGGTTTCTCAAACACGGTTGCCCTTGCCGGGGTCGATAAAACTGGCTACTGTAGAACGTGGTTTTGGAACTATTCATATTCAGTAATATTCTTAAAGATCAGAAACGATTGCAGTAGAATAATTTTCTACACTGTCCTTGCCCAAAACAGAAACGTTTACAGCTAAAAATATCATACCATTTAACTCTGTTTTTCCTTCTGCGAATACCTCACCTCTCAATTTTTGATACAGAAAAATAAAATACGACCAGCCTCTACGAGACTTCTCCTTCTTTAAACACAGTAGCATAAAATCTGAGTGGCGCGCAGTATTAATGTCACCTAGCAATTACAGTGATATCATCCAACTCTAAGCACATACTGCATGCTTGGCAAACCAAGAAGTGAAGTTTTACAGTAAACAGCTTATTTTTCTCCGTGGCGATAGGTCACCAGATAAATAGTATTTGTAAATTAAATATTCACACATCTAGCGGGGATTTAAAATGTCAAGGTCGAATGTTTGACCACCGGTGATAAAGCCAACTTCAATGTAAAACTAAATAATGTATACTTTTTTTTATATTTCATACAAACGAAATGAAATGCTACTTAAGGGGCGCCACATCCAATATTTTCCATAATTCATTACTTCGTTCCCTCAACTAAAACTGTCGCCAAGATAATTGGTTGGAAAGGGGTCTCAATAATGACACTCCGTTTCACGCCTGTCGAAGCCGCAGATTTGATGCAATAGCTGTACGATATAAGAAACGCGCACAGTTAAATTCTCAAATAGGTAATACTGCAGTAGTATCGCGATATCGTATTTAAACAACTATATATTTATAAAGAGCTTTTAATCTCAGGAACATTTTCTGCAATCGCGTTATACGAAAAAAATGTTTAATTATATTACCACCGAACTACTGCTTCTACTCAGTGGGTCTACTCGAGACTCCCTGCAATAAACAACTTTATGCATTTTATAGCAAAAGACGGCACAGACCTGAACATGAATGATTAATTGGTTTAATCAGTCATTTAAAATCTCATTTGACAAGTTACGGCACAAAGATCATCACTATGGATATCAGTTTTTGTATCCGTTCACGGTAAATAAGAATGATTCTTAAATTCTTATAATGATTATGTTAAATCAAGAGTAAAATAGTAGAATATCCCATAAATATTTTCTACTATATAAATCACATAAACCTTTCACTTCCAGCCACTGGAAGAAATAACATGATTTAAAATGTATTATTCGGACACCAAATTCACGCACACAAAAACACAAAAGGCTGTTAGTTAATAATTTATATTTACCTACAGATTTCGAAGCTTCCTTTTAACGGACAATACTACAGCAAAATTAAAATATTAAAGACTACCTCGCAATCGTATAGCTCACTGAGTTGTTCAATGATCCATTCCTCCAAGATTAGCCTTTTTCTCAGCTCCTTCCTGTCGTATTTCACGGTTACTTTGCCCTGTTTCTTCTGGACCGAATCATCCCTTCTCTCGGGTCCAGCACCAGTACAGCCACCAGTCGGGGCTGCCTGAAAAAACACCCGTCCAGGAGGAGCAGGGAGCTGGGTGCTTGTTTCCGTGCCGGTAGCTGACATGTTAAAACCGTGCGCTGCACTAACAGACTCTGGAAATGATCACAATTTCAAACACCTGCTATTTAAAGCTCTTCTCAGTCTTAAACTGCTTGGTCAGAGAGGGGGAGGCGCCTCCAATCCAAATTTCCAGCTTTAACGCTCTCAGTGCTGGTGAAATTGATGCTGGAAAATTGGACTTTTAGAGTGCTTTTAATTGGGGCTGGTAGAGAGAGTTAAAGGTACTGTAGTTCACAGCGCTTTTTTTAGTGGATCTTGAGGAAGCGTTAATAGAAATAGTTATCAAAACGATTGAACTACGTCTTGCTTTCCTAATCGTAAAGCTAAACATATTTTAAAATTCCACAATGTTCATAGATGTACTATAATTGTTCAGAACATTTTAATAAAGAATCGTTTTGCTACACTTTGATATTGTCACGCCCTCTGCTGCCAAAGGGCGCTCCTTCTCTGTCCTGTCCCTAGTTTCCGGTCTGCTGTCCTTCCTGTCCCTCTCTCCCTTGGGCTATATATTTCCGGGTCTTGCACTCTGTCCTGGCTCAGCATTGACGTTTGGATGTCCTGAGACCCGCCTAGCACCAGGGCGCCCCACGTCCGCTCCCTCTGGGCGTAGGTTTCTATACGGCATTCCTGAACTCTTTGCACTAATGAGCCTGGGCCTTTTTCCCGTCTCGCCGCTACGTATATGGGTCTTTTTCCGCTCTCCTGCTCCCCACGGTTAGTCCCTTTGGACGTCCGTGACAAATATATTAAGCAGAGGAAGCAAACTTGTTGAAAAAGTGAAAAATAAAACATTTAAATCAAAATAAAAATATGTAAGATGATTCTTTTCAAGAAAACTAAACTGGATGTCTGAGAAATACAGAAAATGCTTAATCAATCAGACGAAGGTAGATAATACAAGTACTCATTTACTCTGCTGGGCAATGGAAACGTAGAAAATAATGTGTACTGTATTTTGATTTTACATGAACAAGTGTACCAGGAAGGGTGGGATTTTGTTAAAGGATTCCTGAAGGGTTACAATTCTAAACTTACTTTGCTTTGTTTATTTTGTTAAAATCATTTCATTAATATTAATTAGAAAACTTTTACAAAGACCATTAATAACCTTATGAAATTCTTTGTGTCCCATTTCCTAAGAAGCCAGTGTATATAAACATGAGTCTTGTGCCAGGCTGAACAACACCTGGTAGGCTTTGGGGTGTGCGCTACTTTTATATGTTACACAAATTAAATGTTACCATGTTCTTTATACACAGAATATATTGTTTTCATTTAAAAACTTAATTATAGAAAACGCTGTTGGTGTGTATACTGTGGCATTATCATCCCTCCCAGAACCTTGGACCGTTCGGTTGCTCTCTGACTTCCTTTCTGGTAGCTTCTCCCACCCAGCACATAAGGGGGTACCTCTAGCTTTCTTCTCTCTTTTGATCGCATGGCAAGCTACATGAGGCGGTGCTCCCCCTTTCTCCCTCTACCTTTAATCAATTCAATTTTTTTTTCAATTCAAGGTGCTTTATTAGCATGACCGATGGGTACAATCAGTGTTGCCAAAGCAAATAAAAATAATAACATAAACATGAAACAAAACAAAAAAATAAAATAAAATCTACAGACATATTACAGACATTTACAGCAAAGACATATCATAAACATTTTACATATATTGTAAACATATTGAGCATTTGTCACAGTGCAGTAGGAAGTGCACCTCTGACTCTATTTCTCCCCGCTGGCAGTGGGAGCATAGCCTGTCCTCTCTGGGCAGCCAGGTTTGCCTGTGTCGCCCAGTTTCTTTGGCCAGGCCGTGGTCACTGAGCCTGTACTTCTTCAGGGTCTGTTTTGTTTTGCTATTTCTTATCTAAGTCAAATATCCGGCTAGTGTCTATTGTCTGTTTAGGGTTCTGTAGCATTCCAGTTTATGTTGTGTTTGTGTTTGTGTGTGTCCCAGTGTGTGAGATATTGCTGTTTGATCTGTGCTATGATGTGGTTGATTCTGAGTTGTGGTGGTCTAGCAGTGCTGTCCTGAGGCTGGCTGGTGTCGGTGTGGCTGGGGCCAGTGAGCCTTCTCTCTCCTTCCTTATCTCTCCTTCCTCTCTCCTTCCTTAGCTACATTCCTGTAACCTTAAGATCAATAAACCCCCTGCCACTGGTGTCAGTTAATGGATTAACCCAGGCTCCTTCCAGTCAGCTTCAGCATTGAAGATGCAGAAAAAAGGAAGGAGCACACCAGGACTGCTCAATGGGTGAGAAGCTCAGACCGAGGAATGGAGCAATCTATACACCTGAGCCTTGCTGGGATAGTGGATTTCCCCATACCTATCAACAGAGAGGTAGGGTCAATATCGCAGAGTTAATTGCAATAGGCTTTAGAGTGACATTACTCTCCAGAAAGAAAAGATAAGAAGACGATCCAAATCATTAGAAATAATGGATCTGTTGGATGCATTGGCTAGTGAACATAATTAGAACTTAGTCAGGAAAAGCGAAGGATGAAAGGGGAGAGGACCCGGTTGGGCACTGTAGTTAAGAAAAGCTGGGTTGCACAGAGAAACCTAGTGGAATAGATCATGAAGCAGAGAAGCCAAGAGAAGACTGCAACCGGACAGCACCTCCGGCAATGGGGAGTTACAAAAGGGCAAGGCCTGTTGGAGGCATTCAGGAAGTGGTGTGAATTAGTTGCTTACCTGGATGGAAGATGAGAAACCTTCACATCTATCTACAGTTAGCTTTGACTGTAAGCTGAGAGGTCCAAGGGGTTCTGTTTAACTTGTTGTGTGAGTAAGTTTGAAATAAAAAAATATTGCCCTGTTAGTCTTTGATTGCCATGTTGGCAAGGCCAAAATTATGCTGGTGCTGCGTGAACAACTTGAACACCGTGTGTTACAATCAGCAATAAGATTCAAGGGCTTCACTGCCGACATTCACTATCTAGTGCACATGGCTTATACACTCTTCCCTAGGAAGGCCCAGAAAGAGCTGGCTAATCATCACTTCATGTACAGGCTCACCCCTGACCACCTGCGGCACAAGGTCCAAGTAGCAGATCTGGTAAAAATCTAGAAGCGGCCTCAAGGTGAGCAAAGAGAAAGTAGATATTTATGGATCACATTCTGTACCCCATTTGCAATAGAGGAAAGAGGAAACCAACACTACAGAACCACACCAAACATGCAGAGCAAGGAAAAGGATGGGGACCAGTATAGGAGGGACACCACTGGTCCCCCAGGCAATCCCTGGGGGCACAAGAACCAACACCCACAATAGATTCTGAATTGTACTACCACCTTACAGATAGAGTTGAGGGAGAGCCATGCCAGGCCCTAGTGGACGTGAAATCTGTGGCGACTATTGTAAACCCTAGCCTTCTATCCTTAGCTGCAAACCACTTACCTAAAACTGAGTATGGCAACAGGAGAAGAGACCCCCATACATGGGTGGACCACTGCCATAGTAGAAGCAGGTAACCAGCAATTTAAGAACCCATTATGGAGACATGCTTCCTGATGCTGGTTTTCCTCCGGCGATCCAAGGCCCAATAGGATCACTATCAAGGATCCATTTGTTTGCCAGGAGACATTCAACAGAGCATGGCACTCTGAATTTGTCAACCAGATATCGGCTCCTTCCCTTCCTACACCTCCAGCAGCGACTTCTAGATGAACAACCGCTGCATCTTCAAAGGTGAGCCCTACAGTCTCATCTCAGAGGCAGTGCCAAGGGCAGTCTCAGCCAATGTGCAGCATCCCCAGCAGAATAGGGTTCTGCTCGGCCAGATCACTCAAAGAGGGACTGAGCCACATCGCTGCTCATCTAAGTCATAGGAACAGCTAGGGACAATGACACACCACCTTGACCCACTGGAAGGTACCACCAGGCAGACCCAGGAGCAGTGAACCAGGAAGGCAGTGATTCAGACTGCATGGGGGGAGTGCAAGAAGTTTGACAAAAGAGCAAAGTGATTGCCTCTGGGATCTTTTACAGCAACTGTGAACAGAAACGTTGGTGTAAGACTGGGAAGCAGCTTCAGTGTTGTTTGATGGTTAATTACTATCATGCATCAAAATATGAACATTTTTATTTTCATTTGAGTATTTTTATTATTGCCAAATGATGCCTATTAAATTGCAGTGATGAAATTCTCTGGACAGAAGCCTGTGTAACACAGTGGTGCTTTCCTGTAGTCTTTCTGTTCAGACTCTCTTACTGGCAGTTTGTGCTGCAGAAATTATGTGTGCTGACACAAAATTGAATTTACAGAAAGAGAGAAGCTCTAAGAGGATAAGAAAATTAACTTGAATTAACAAAGAAAAACAGGAAGTGCAAATGAGCCATGTAAAGCTTTTTATTAAAATATGTTTGTCTGGTTAGAGGTTTTTCTTCATGACAAAATGTTGAGTAAATAGCACAGCAATAAATCTTGACATTTAAACATCTGCTTTGTGATATATTCTTTCACAATATTAATATACTCAATATAATAAAAGGATGAAACTTCATTTGTCAGAATAGCATGTAAACATGCCTTCAAACCTATACAGACCTAGAATAGTAATAATATTCTATTATTATTATTATTATGATTGAAAGTATATTAATAGTTGTTTAACGCAACAAAAACAACTGTCCAGCAACAGGAAAAAAAATACTATCCTTACCTACTGTTTAAGGAGTATATACAACAGGATGATCCTTAATTCCTAATAAGAGTTCTTGTGATGAGGGTTACCCATCAATAATGGTAATTAAAAGGGGCAAAACACATCTAAACTGTTAAACCAATGAACAAGGTTCAAGTTCAACACTAAACAGCTCTAATACATTCCACTAAACTTCTCTAGAGCCACATGCACAGATGCCTATATTGCAAGCCGAGCTGAATGCCAGTGGCTCTAATGGCTATTTTTGGTTAGAATGGTGTTTATGCCAGACAAAAGTATATGTCCTTAACCAAGTGAAAGTGAATTTTAAAAAATATATCTAGAGTTGCTAATAATAATCTGTTTCTGTGTGCTTTTATTTAAGCTACATTGACCTATATTCATT